GCGCGAGCAGCAAGGAATTTCCGTGCAATCCGAGAAGGACCATAGGGAACTATTTACGTGGGCAATTTTATAACTGCAATTTATTATATTATAAAAAGTAGAAAAGACAAAGCATTCGACGGTGATCAATCTCTCGACTTTACTGTGTAGCGTAGAGGTGAATGAAATCATGTTTAACTTGCGATAGTCTTGTAATGTAACAAGGCAATATTCTTATCTCAAAAACAATTTAATGGCCTCTGATGTATGGGGGGTTCGAATGGAGCGGAGTGCCTGATAGATTCATCGAAAGCTCTGAATCCGTTATGTTATAAAAGCGGATAACAAATTTGGAATTGACCCAACCCTAAGGGATGGTCCGTTCATTCGACTTTATTCAGCTCATCATAGGTGAATAAATGCATATTTTACTTACACATTGACTCATGGTGGGCTGCCGATGTATCTTGCATTGCAGTTTTTCCTGAACAGGTCCGGTATCATTTTGGCGACCCCAGAGTGATAAAAGACTTGGTGAAGTAGAGGGGCTAAATCGAACCAATGACCATTTGTCTATCGCAAGCAACTCTGACCACTGCGCCACACATAACTAGTATCCACTGCGTTAGACGAACGTTATTGCATTATAATAAACATCATATGCCTATCGACAGAATGCAGCAGTAAAAGAGAAGTTAAGTCCTGACTGTAATGTTTAGAACGACTTGGATGTATCCATTAATTAATGAGAAGTGAGATAAACGAAAAAAAAATGACATCAGAGAAGACAGCTAGTGGTCGTCTACTATGATTCATAGGCTAACCACCGCTTTTTTATCCAGTTATTCATTGGAGAGCAATATACACTTGCATTCCTTCCAAATTGGTTTGGAAAATAGTTCAGTAAGAAAAATAAGCTTCATAAATTCAGAAGTTCATCCTGCTTGAATAGGAGATTTTACTAAATAGGACGACACGAGAACGAGAAATCTTGTTGATGACGGCCTGCAGATTCCTACTTCTTTTTCGATTGGGAAATTTTGCTCTGAGCTATGATATGCTTGTTGAAAGTCTAATGCGGGGGTTATTTTCACACTATGAGTGAAAATCAACTAACACCATATACTAATTTTTTCTTACCGACTGTTACCGGACGGATTACCTGAAAACCAAAGATTGTTATCAGACGATCACTTAATTGATAAACTTTCAGAAATATATTAGCCTTTACAAAAAATGCAGTTTATGTTATCTCCTTAATACGAGAAGAGAAATCTGTACAAGCTTAATAGATTTGGAATTCTGCTCTCAAGCAAGCGAGTAGGTAAGCCATCCGAGCGGTATTTCATCTCGAGCATTCAAGAGAATAGTGAAGAAGCTGGTCGCTTCGAGCTTTGTACTGTTCTTCTCAGTGAAGTTCCCGTAGCCTATGGCGCAGTGAACCAACCACAACATCGGTATCTGGTTACAATGCAGACGTTTTTTAATTACTTAAAACACCTTAATTTCGGTAATTGGTGCTTGAGCAAACTGAACTTGAAAACAACAGGAGAGCGGATTGCTCAAACCACTGCCTTCTCACTCGTTTTTTTCTTTGTCCTAACTTTGCCTGATTGATCTAGCACTAACTTACCGACCTACGACGAATTGAAGGCTTGGTGAGCATTGGGTGCGAGATCGAGCCAATGTGTTTTGCGAGATGCCTCTAATCACTTCGCTTTATGCGCCATCGTATTATCTGATAAACCAACAAGAAGGAATTTCTTGTTTCATGTTCCATATTTTTATGAGTACCAAAGGCTTTAACAAATTTTTCACAGAGAAAATATTTTGCTCATTTCAATGAAAAATCTGCCTAGCAAAAGTCGAGTGATCTCATAAAAATTTCTAATCGCTGATTAGAAATACCCGAACCACTATTTGAAATAGAGTGTGAAACTTGACAAATTGCTCTCACAAAGCCAAAAGTCATGACTTTATCTTGAAAAGCTACAGAAAGACGAATTAAGTATTTCTCTCAGCCACTATTGTTGCAAAAATATAAAGTTCCTTATTGCCGAATCGTATATGAACAGCTTCACATAGTCACCAAATCCTACAAGCTCGATACCCGGGATTCAAAACAACCGCAGGAGACAGCGTTAAAATCAATGTGGATTGAGTAAACTGTGTTTAAGGCGTCTGAGAATCCAGTTGGACTTTTGAAACGTTTTTCAGTAATTATGAGCCATTTAGTATGTCATTGCCTCCGCTTTTCTTTTCTGAACTCTAGTTGTGGTACTATTTTGCAAAGGCAGAAGCCTCAAAGACGAAGACCAACGCAATATTAATACTTACAGTAATTAATTATATTTAAAAACCCACTTTCCTATAACCTCGGCGTTACTAATCAATGTGCATTCCTCTTTTTTAATAAGCTTGCACGAGGTTGTTAAGCATTCTTTATTGGCTAACGCTTCAACAGTTTCATTTTCATCAGAGCCGATGGTCCACGGTTGTTCTCAATGTGGCGTCTTCGCCTTTCTATTGAGTTGAGTTTTCTTCAGCGGACCATCTCTTGAAGATTTTGGGTGAGGGAGGTAGGGCTCTCGTAACATCACGGCTCTGAGGAAGGCGAAATCGACGAAACATCAGCCATCCACCAACAAGCACAACAGCAACAAAAACAACAACAATGACAAACACAACGAAGACCTATACCAACTTCGTATCAGGTACCGAAGATCAGTTTATAAGATCATATAAAGAAATATATCAACTATCTATGCCGAGGTTTGTAGATAGTCGGTCTTTTAAATTATTTCCTTAAACAATCCGATAACGTCACTCCTCATCCTTCTAGCCTGCAACGTCACATCTGCCACAGGATTCAGATACAAGAGGACGAGCACAACAGATACAGATAGCCGCCTTAGTCGTTCCATGATTAGGCACCCTAGAATGGCTTTGAGATTTTGGCGGCCTCTCCGTAGTCGTTCCATCTAACGATGCCGTATCAAAAATACTTTTGGGGTTAGGAGTGTCAGAACCATTTATTTTACTGTGTTCAAGTTTTTCGTACCTACTATAGCTTGCTGAGCGCTGAACATAGGAGCTGTGTATGCTCGCGGGTAGCTCGTCAATCTCTCTAGAGTAGACATAGGGCTTATTTATTGGAGGCCACTTCTTTCGTCTTCCTATGCGCTTCCCTGTTACATTATTGCAGGCTTTTAAACGATTTGACTCGTAGAATACAATCCGCATGAACGAGAACACACCCAAACACGTATGCATGAAGATATCTTCACAAGCAGAGCAGTATGCGTCAAATCCGCGCAGCAGAAACAGGGAATCCATCTCCTCTTCCTAAATGTGTTTAAGGGAATCATAAGGTCGCTTTTGGTCCGTAATTAACCTTTATATACTACCTGCGAATGCGCCGACTGCCGTTGGATAAAGTAATTTTTAAACCATAGAAAGCATTGTGATTAAAAGTTACGCTTCTTTAAAATCAAGCAGAAATAACTAAGATATGTATCTACCGCTGCTTTAACCGTGTGCAAAGAAGCATTGAAGTGAAGAATTGGTCGATAGAAACTGTTTACAGATTCCATTAAAACACATACTATTATTCGTATTTGTCTATGCTGCATGTAAATGTCAAATGCTAAGTGTGTTCATTCAACAATTTTGGTATTGTCAACACGGGAGAATAATGGGACTTATTATGTTGTCATGACCACCGACAGTAGTTAAGTAGACGCTGATGAATCTTTTAGGTAGTACGATAGATGTGGAGATGTTAGGGATAGCATCGAAGTCATATGAAAGGGTACTCATTAGATGGGGCAAGTGAAGTAAGTGAAATAGATGAGATAGAAGAGCTAACAAATTCCTTTAATCACTACTGCGTCCCCGTTATCAGATGAACGGCACCTGTTTAGTGTTCGGATTTCACCAATGACGTTCTGCCAAAGCGAATGCGTCGTTCATATCCAAAAGCATTAAATTCTTCTCTATTCATTTATCTACTTCTTCCTATTCTTTTAATCTTAATGGTCAACATATTTACCGTCTATGCTGTACGCAACATAGAAGTCACATTGTTAACGGATCCAAACCACCTTTATGCTCAATCGATTCTGGAAACTGCGCGACGTGATATCGCTGATTCAGTCCCGCCAATTTCGCCTGAATTCTCATTTGGGTAAGCTTTTTGTGCAAATCATCGCAAAAGAAACATAAACAACAACGCGTTAAGCGTTCATCTATCCTAAGGGATGCGATATTTACTCTACTCCATTATGCACAACGAACATAACTGTCGAATATTCAACACGCACGATTACTGACAATGTTCCAACGATGCATCGATATATCATCGAGACATCTTTACCGTCCTCCCAGACTCCCAGGGAATGGAATACTTGTCAGCTTAGGGCGCGGAATCAAACCAACAAGAACTTTCAGGCGCTTCCAACCACCGAGGTGCAAGATCTATATGAACCAAAATACTTCTATAGAATTGATAATAACGTTCCCTAAAATATGTGTGTATTAACACTTTCGTTTTTTACTTCACTTTATTTTATTTTATATGACCCATCTTCATGTCTACCGTGCGAATCCCAGCAATTCTCATATTCCATTCATTTCCTCTCATCCATAGTCCACGAAGATCTTTCGAGTTTATACCTGTGGCTTCGGGTGCTGCTTGAGGATTTTCATTTCATCTTGAATGTCGTAGAATGCTGGTCGAGACGATTTTCCCTGGAGCCCCGTGATAGCTGGGTTGGAGCGTTCCCAATCGGGTTGCAGAGAGTGGTTCTTTTTTCCCAGACAAGTCCGGTACGAATTTTCTGACCCAGTAGGGATGAGAGGTTTGGTTGGCCTGGAGCGGAATCGATCTAGCACTATGCTCGTGATGACGGACATCACTATCACTGTACTATCAGCATCCTAATGGTGTAATAAGATAGTTTTATTGAAGACACGAGTACTAGTAGCGACCTAACCAGTAGAAGCGTTTACTTTCCTTTCAGGATTATTGTGTCCACTAGCAAATGTGGGGTAGCACTCGAATCGCTGTCATCATTGGCTGAACTTGCAGAGAATTATTACCAGAAAAACACCAAAGCGGTGTTTGGGCCGACTTGTTACGATGGTAAGGTTGCACATCTTTTTTTTGTATTATAGCATTTTTTTTTTAAAATATCACTTCTTAATCGTAAACGATTTTCGAAGAACAACAAATTTTCATGCGTACAATTTATTTGGTTGGTCAATAGTCCAAAAGCAGCGGCACCAATGTTGCCATCAGAGCTGATTTGTTATGGGTCGATTTGCGGGGAATTTCAAACGTGTAGTTTCCTTTATAAAGCAAAGTGTAAAGCAAGAGGTAGGAAGAGGAATAAACGGGAATCTAAAAAACTAGTCGCACCTGCGTTCGATAATTTTTTTATCATAACACTACAGCTGTCACTGTTTGTTACTCGTGTGTTTTCTAATAGGGCATATTTAAGACGTTTCAAAAATTGGCGGATTGACAATGGACTTTGATATTCTGCAGTTCAATTCTTGGGTGGACAGTGCTTGCCATTTTCAACCCAACACGATTGTTCAGGTTTGGAGAATATGAATATAAACTAATACATAGAAAAGTTCCTATTAGTAGTACTAGTTTAAATAGCACAACCGTAAGAAGAGGTTGTTGATGGTATTCCGTTGCCAAGGTGCCCTGTATTCCGACAAATGGCGTATGAATTGACAAGCGATTGTGTGAGTAAAGTTTACTGACAGTTTCTCATAGTGTTTGCGCCTAATCTCTTCAGGGCCGAGCGCTCTACGATTGCTCAGAGACGAGAAAGTGTAAGAAAGTTTACCGAACCCTTGCACTGAAGATGCTCTAGGACGAAATACACACTATTCCCTACGTGATGTGGAAAGAAGTGAAGCGAATAGTAAAGAGATTGGGCTAGAAGGCGTACATGTTATCAATTCATCCGATATTATAATTATCACAGTCTCAGCGGATATTGTGAGTGACCATCCCAACTTCAGCACCTTCAGTCAGTAGTGCTGGCCCTCTTGCCTTAAAATCTTCCTTTACCACTTCTCTTCAGAACATTGCTCTCGACTGTTCTTGAATGCAAGCTTTGCTTGGTGACATTAAAATTGACGACTTTTTAGTCCTATCTTGAAAGGATTGGTAAGTCTAACGTATTCCTTATTAATATTAGTGACGCAGGACCCTATCCTATTCGATCCATTGCAAGCCACGGGTGCTGATACGACGTTATTCAGACGCTTTCCTAGAGCCAATTTTGCTGTTAAAATCGCCGGCGATGGCAATGGAATTGTGGTTTTTTTCTATAGAACTTCAACTTCACACATGTTGTGTCAATTCCACTTTTTTCATTTTCTCATTGTCATATTGATGTAGGTTGCCGAAACTGATAGCTCCATTTTTAAAGCTCTCTAACTGGTGCATATAGAAAACAGCTTCAAATTATTTCAGCAATTCTACGCCGTTTCGCGAAACTCGACTTGATTCTAGTTCTTTGGAAATCCCACTAACTGCTCAACACCCAATCAAAAATTGGCTTAAATAGAGAATGTATAGATTCGTTTTCCAAGCACCTGTTTTATAAATGTGGACCCACCGAATTCACTGGAGCACGTATTTTACTCGTTAACGATATTATTACTAAAGACCACAAAAAGAAATCGCATTATAAATTAGGACTAAACCTTGTCATAATGCTAGCTTTTTATATCCTGCCTATTATTAATATTTTTCACTGCAGCATACGATGTGAAGTATGACCACCGAGAGGCAGAGATCTTGACAAAACATGGACTCCATGCCAGATCGAACCCGCGATTATCATTTCCAGGTGCACACCTATTACTCACTGCGCTACTGATGCCTTTGCTTTGCCTTTCTCTCAGACGGTTCCTTTCCTAACGCTGTCATCAGCAATCACCCGTCAACGGAAACGATTTGGGCAGCAGAAGTTGGCATTGAACCCAGCTAAACTGGGGCAGTAACCGAAATCATAATGTATAACTTGTAACTAACAGTGTGAGTTCAATGGCAGCCACAAGTTAATAAAGTTCAATGCTTATTTGTGCTCCCAAGATCGTTTCCGTTGACTAATCATTAGTGATGGCAGCGTTTTGTAGAAATGTGGATGAAAGAAAGGCAGAACTAAGTCCTCAGTCGGTGCAGTGGGTAACACGTGAGCACTCTGATGTGGTAAACGTGCATTCGAATCTGGTCTGAAGCCTGAGTTTTTCAAATGTCTTAGCATCATTGTGGTGAGAAGCTCTAAAGCTTTTAAAGGATAAGGCTCTCGGCGTTGATCAATCCCTGAGCGAAGCGCCATTCATTCGACTTCATTAAGCAAAGTTGGAAGAGACTGAATGCATATCGGGCGTTTAGAATGACTCGCGGTAGCCTACTGATGTATCGAGCCAGTGCTGCTATTCTCCCAGACATATTTGCTACCAATATGCCAACCACGGAGGAATGGAATGGTTGGNGAGCCTGTGGCAAAGGGATCGATACCATGTGTATTGTAGGGCGCCTCCAACCGCTGCGTTGCACTAGCCTCCATCATTGTGGTTATGTTAAAATAATTGGTCAACAATTTCTGACCCTGCTATCCTTATCTGTGAATGACTTTTCGTGGATCATCCACCGTCTCTATCGTTTGCAGACCAGATGAACTTTTCCAAGCCACTAGAGTAGCTATCGTTTTTAAACTACGAAATTCTTTCTTACCGACATAGTATTCAAATGTTTTAACCAGTTGCGTAATCGACATCACCTAAAATGATTTCTCCACAATAGTCTGTCAATTTTCTGGTTTCACACCAAGAAAGTAACATCTTTTTAAGCAAAGTAATTTCTCACCAGAACCACAACTTGGACATAAGAAACAGCTTCCGAAGAGGCACAAATGATGACGAAAACTACTAAGGAATTCCACAGCGACGTTCCTTTCCACGACGTCCCTATAGTACAATTTCATTCAGGTTTCCTATGCTGTGGCAGGCGTTGTCATGCTGGAGAGTCGGTCACTATGTCCATGTTCTCATCGTCTATGATGGAGTGTCTCAAAGAAACGTTTCACTTGATAGCAGTGCATTAGCTTGTTCACGATTGTCTGTTTTCCCTACAGCAGCTCCAAATAAATCATGCCTTCTTCCCTCTAATAAGCGTAAAGGAGATTCTAGTGAGGATGAAACGTTAGCCTTGACATCCACGTTCGAGTGCAAAGACTCGCGTTCCATTCCATTCAGTACTATGTTACTGATAAATCGTTAACTAAATACAACATGTTCCACATCCAATTCCAAATAAAGGTATGCCCATACTTCAATTAGAATGTAGGATTCAACTGAGCACCACACAGTGAAATATTTAGTAGTGACGAATAGACTAAATGGTTAAGAACTGGTGAGAAAAATTTATAAACCAACCCAGCTAGAACCTTCTACCATCACTCGTCAAACGACAAGTACTAGTTAAAACGTTTTGGTAAAATGAGTTAGGAACACATGAACAATAAGTTGTCGCATATTTTCTGGCCTCTACGATACAAACACCCATACGACTCAAACTTTTCATCTGATGACCAAGACAACAGTAACAGTTCTCTTTAGGAAGCCCATGTGATGAATTGTGAGAGGGTTTTCAGCAATAGTGGCACGATCCCGAATCACAAAAGCATGTTCACACCCGTCTTCATCAAACACAACATGGGCACGCGGCAATCGTTCCTTCATGTGGTACCCTAGAGAAACATGCCTACACGGTATCAACTACAGGTTAGATTTGGCTAATTAGTACGATGGAAAAGACGTGCAAAAACCGTTATGCGCTAGACAAAGTAACAAAGGGAGACTGTTCGACAATTTTTTCAGTAAAGCAAACCAACCTCTTCAAGGCACCACTCATCCGCTCTTCTGTAACAGAATTAAAGCAGATCCTTGCACATTATCAGTAAGCTGTCGAAATCAGTTACCCAAAAAAAAAATCCATGAATCAGAGGCGCCTCACATTGCGACTTTGATTACTTGAGAAGAAGTCCACACCTTATTCAATTCATCATGCGATAAGTGGATAATATTTCAAAAGGCGTTCATATTAAGGTGTTCTGTCGTTGATGCGATCACATCATTGGGGACCTAAGCTGCAGTACAATTCACCATTCGACACTACTAGTGCAGGTGCGTTGACAAAAGCGTACCGCGTCACCAATAAGAATCTACGAAACCGGCCAGTTCTTCACTTTTGTAGGCAAGCAATCCAGCAAAAACGACACCGTTTTCGCATGCCAATCATTTGTATCCAAAGTCTAAAAGGTGGTAACTCGCACTTTGTCGGGGATCTATCTTCAAAAGAGATTACAAGCCAGCGCTACCGAGCGAAGCCAAACCTGAATCCATATCTTACTGCCCCATTCAGCTGTGGAGATGAGCACAACACAGAAATACAGATTTTATCGAGGAAGGTGGCGTTGCATAGGAACTGATACATCGAAAGGAAGCACAAAAATGTGGAGTCAAAACTAACTACTGTAATAATAAAAACGAACTGCTAGAACTTGTTTAAGGCGCACGTTATTCGGAGATTCAGCCATTTTCTCAACAATGGGAAACAGCCCTATAGCCTTCTTCACGTTGAAGTCGTCCTTCATACATGGAAGTGACCTTCCAAATGCAATAAATCGGCCTGAAAGCACAGAAAAAGTTAGAACCACTGGTGTTCCAAGACTAACGGGAACGTTATAAATGAACTATGCATATATTGACCAAATCGAACTTTTCGCTTTTTACATCTACCATCTACATCTTTACATCATTCTGTGGTTGAATTTCTTTTTGACGAGCTTTACTAGAAGTGTAATCGTGAATAACATGTGATTAGAAACTAGGTCACCATTTGTGGATCTCAACAATTTCGGTGGCCAGAAGACGAGGGAAATTCTGTGACCCTCACAAATGGTCATTTTATTTGATATTTATTACAAATGCAATTTAGTATATTATGGTCTCCCACGCTCACCAAGCTGGGATGAACAGCTACGACGCTTTTTTGCAACAGGAACAACTCCTCAAGCGACTGCAAGTTTGTATTTAGTTAGGTCTTGTTAGTCATGACTCCCAACGGTTTACCGCCTCATCGTGGCTGAGAGGTGTTCCTGGGTGTTGGGCTGCGATGTACAGTGGGAGTATTTATTCATCCATGGTCTCCCAAGCTCAGGAGTCCGGTGCTTCCATCAGGAAGTCAAGCTAAAAGTACCAGGATTCACCACCGAACTGGCATCAAACTAGTCGCGTGGTGGCAAATTTCCCTCTGATCCAGAATGACGGCGACTACCTGTGGTGGTGACGATCTAGGGCAGAATTCGGCCAGGTTGACCTCGGGAATTCAGAGAACTACAATAGCTAAACCAGCGAAACTCCGAAAAAATGGAGATTATGCTGTGGCCCTCACAACCAGTGAGGAGGGGCCATCCAAGTTTCCAAGTGTGTCTTGTTATGGTAAAAATGTATAGCGAAAGCAAAACATACAAATCTTATCCATTGAAAGTTCCACTGATAGTCGGAAAGTTAGAGGTAACGCTTCAACATTATGTTCAGTCTACCACAAAGAATTGGAACGAAGCATGAATCGCAATCCAATATGTATGTGTAACCGCAATATGCATTATGTATGCACCTATGCTGTGTCCGAGAACGTGTACCTTCTGAGTCCTAGGCAAGTGTTCCCGTACGAAGTCTAGTTGGTGTTGCACTTGATCGTCGAGTTTAAACCGGTCTGAACGCAAACGAATGGACAAAGAATTCTAAGAAATTGGACCTATATGAAACTTGCCAGAAAGTTAATGAAAGTGAGTATGAACGGGTGATCAGAAAAAGTCGAAATTCACATGAAGCGTAAGGAATTCAGAATAAATCGCGAGAGCAACATGGAGCAAATGTAAACAGCGAAAATAGAAAACTGCAGAGGAAAAACAGAAGAGGAAGATCAGTGAAACTGAAATCTCTTTGAACACCGCAATAATGGGAGATATCAACAGAGCCACTGAGAAGGAGTTGCAGCGAAGGATAAATAATGATCGTCGAGGTCAAACTCCAAGTGGTTCCAGAGACACAGGATTGCTTTCAAGAACTCCTCATATTATGGAAGCGGAGTCAACAACATTAAGAGGTAGAGAGCTCCATCATGGAGAAAGGAATGGCAATAGTTCAACAAACAACAACTCAACGCAATCTCTGTGCTTCCCAGAACACCTCACTTCATTTGGCAAAACTACATGATTGAGATGGGACACCGCTTAGAATAGATAGTGACGTTTAGGAAAAGCGGCATGTTCATCTCTCAATAGCAGACACCTCAATAGCTTTTGGCCAAAATCAACACAGAATCCATCACTACCAGGAATCCCTATTCGTACAAAGGATAAGTTAGTAGAACGAAAAACAATGTTATAAGTAACGAATCTCACCAGGTAAGATCAAAATAACTACACTGATGTCTCTTATCTCACGAAAGACTTCCATCGAAGGATTCGGACCTATGACAGAAACACGGGTCCAGCAATCTCCTAGGAGCACCCAGTCTACATATCTGCTGATATCGCACGGCATCCTGAAGTACACGACATTGTCAGGACGAATACACGAATATCGTCAAATTCATATGATGGCTGCGCGTAGTGAACACCTTAACACCCGAATCCGAAAAAATCTCAACTAACAAGTTGAAGCGAGCATTCAAATTTTAGGGTATTTCAGCTGGACATCAATATTTCAGTTGACGACGGTAATCGACACTCAGAGGTGAAATGCCGAGCAGGTCTTTCTTCGAACGGTGAAACAACGAAGTTGTCGAATTCCCATTTTGACAAACTCCTTCGTCCGATGGTCAGGCGTCCCCTTGAGGAATTCATTTCATCAAATGCTTGACAGTTGCCGTTTGCGAAACCCACAACCCGAAAACCCATGAAAAAGCAACCTGTTCATTTTCTCGGACGTCAAATATGATTTACATAAGCACTGCTGGGGCGATATCGTGCTCTATAACATCAGAAATGCTAGAAGGAACACGTTAACACAAGCCGCTCGACACCAGATTATGAACATCCACTCCAAAGTGGAAAGAGTTTGCACCACAACAGGCGCTTTCTACTTGATAGGAACTTCAGATTCACCCAGCATCGACTCATTTTCTTCCTACGTCAATGAAAATAACAGCAAGAAAACCAAAAACTAAACCAAATACTTGCTAGATCCTCACCTAACTGGCATTCAAATGACCCGCTTCCATGAAGAGTGGAGCGAATCCTATCACAGTTTCCATTTCAACGACATTCTGGTGAGAGCGTACGAGTTTTCTTTCTACTTTGAACCCGATCACAGCCATGCCGAACTGTACCCATTTGACAAATAGAAGCAAATAATTCTACGATCCGGAGTTTTGTGGAAACTCCGAGATAGTACCAACCAGACTTTAACGGTTTCCCTAGAAGAGAGCAACAGATAGCAAGAACCGACCTCATTCCACACTGGAGCTATCTGGCGAGTGCGTACGGTAGGTAAGAAACAGTTTGTGCAATATTGCGTAAATGGATATCTTCCTCGAAGGTAACAGGAAAGGGTTGTTTATTTGTTTTCAAAATGTCCTAGTCTATTAGTGGTGATTTTATGCTATTTGGAATTGATGAGCATTTCAGCTGTGGCGTATCGAAGTGTGCTGGGTCGAAAATTCTTCGTTGTTACCTAAAGATGTCATTAACTGTAGTGATTTTACTCCTTATCAACTAGTAACTTCCAGCAACCCATAGGAAGCCGTCGAGGCTTGCACTATATTCGGGAAGCACGGCTTCATTCCGTCCTGTTCTTAACACAGAGCACCACCATGGGTGAGTTTCTCTTTTCTTTTCTTTTCTTTTCTTTCTTTTTTTTGCAAACCTCGACTTCGAAATGAGAAGAGAGACTGGGCAGCTGTGCGTTTCTTTGTGGTATTGATTTTCCTTAGCGACGTCCACCCAACGTGCTGTTCCATTTGGTGGTACAGTAGAAGAGTTGCATTGTGGCAATTGTAGTTGTCCCTTGTACTAATAGAGGAGCGCTTACGAGGACCACTAGACCGCTTCGTTAGGCAGGGAATGCCGAAATAATTGACTATTTGGTCATTGCATTTCGTGACATACGTTCGAGGAGGTCATCGTCGATCCTCACACTTATTTACGTTTTTCTAAAGACTGAAGGCTTTTGTTGGTTTGTACTCGTTGCGAGAAATAGCCGTTCTGCAGCTAAAGTCTCACTGTTTTCGCACGACATCCTATGTTGAAAATCGATTACCTTGCTGACTAATTTGATTGAGAATCGGTGAGCCATTTTGGACTTCTGTTACCGAATTTCTGGTGTTCTACTGGATTTCAGTACTGCACCTGTGCTGCGAGAGCTGTTTCAGCTTTGCATGATCGCTAGTGAAGTTGTGTAATACTCGAGCGAAGTCGGTGTTTTTCGTTCCTCACTCTTCGCTAGATTTCCCCACCAAAAAGTTTTCATGCTATCAAGACGTTCGGTGGTGTCAAACGGCCACGAATGGCGGTAATTTCATCTGCGTCAGGTTGTATAAGTCTGAGGAGTCCAAGATTTCCGTCAAGAAACCCATCTAAAAGTTGTCTTACGCTAGTAGGAGAGGTTAGGGGAGCTATCCCGAGCTGTTTTTTGGTCCAAGTTGGGAAAGTGAGCTTTTTCTAAAAGGCGATACTGTTTATGTCCGTTAAGCTGCGCCCACTGAACCACTTTGGCGCTCGAATTAATGAATATACCACCCATGCTCAAATAACTGGCTAACTGATTAAGTGCTTTACGAGTAGTAGGAGCGGTATTCACACTCACGATCGACAGCTACTTCCATCTCCCGACGTCGGTCAGTAATTGTCAGTGGGGTTATATGCGAAGGGTTAAGCAGCTACTTGTTTCTTCGTTGGCTCGTCTAAATTGCTGCCTTAACTAAGCAATTTGTCTCTGCAATAAAGTCGTTCCTTCTTCTAACGCTGTCGTAGTGACAAAGCTCGGCTTAGCGTTTGCAAAGATGTTTGCTATGTCATATCCATACCATCTTAAACATTAATATCTTTCAGACCTTCGTCTCTTATTCGGGTTCTGATTTTATCCCAACATCGATTGTCGCTATGCATTGGAAGGCTACCACAATTCTGCTTCATGTTTATGTGATCACAAAGGAATTTCGATTGGCCTCATTTTCCTTACATCGTATTTGGTTTCACCCTATAAGAGCTTCATTCTGGATGAAGTCTACTGCATGATTTTTCCGTTTTGGACCTACTCCTACATGATATTTTTGGTAAGGCGTCCATACTTTAGTTTAGTTGCTCAAAGTGCAAGACCATTCAAAGCGTTCCGATTTCACTGAAGTCTGTCATCATCATAGCGCTGGTTGTATTTGCATTTTCTACACACCAGTCAGTTAGCTGATTCTGAGATTATACAAATGTTTCTTGTCAAGTAAGAATTTGCTAGTTGTCGGGGAGTTAAGTTTTAGAGAGCATTCTTTTGATTTAGTTAGTGACCTCTCTACCTATTTTTTTGTTAAAATGTGAAATGTGTAGTCTATTTATGTAGGTAGGTACCATTCAACCGGGATTACAAACTCTGCTACGTTTGAGACGCTTAAGATGTAGTGAACTACCGTGTGTTTACAGGTGTCTGTGTTCTTTCTGACTGATATTTTTCGGCACAAGCCAGTAATTGTGCTTGAGGGCGCGTGTCTTTCGTCAACCTGGATTCTTCTTGTGCGAGGCGAACGCATAGCGCAAATGCGACTTATGCAAATTGTCTCCGGTACGTTGATGCTGTAGAGAGTTTCTATAGAGAGAAATAGTCGAAGATTAGCACCTCAATAGATGGCGCACGCAGCGTGTTATTCATTTTCACTTCTTTTCAGGTTTTGCTTCAGCTGCAGAATTTGCATACTACTCATTTCTGTATGCGATTGTAAATGAGAAGAACTATCGCCGTGTGACGCCATACGTTCGTTGTGCTGCTCTCACAGGGAAATTGTTGGCGCTTACCTTGGTTCAAGTCCTCATTTCTGCCGGAGCTGCTATATATCTGGCATTGAATCAGGTGTGAAAACGTGGTTCACTCGATTTTCACGAAATGCTATAGCAAACTTTTCGCGTGCTCATTACTTTTTTCAACACTTTTCCACTGTTTCTTAACTTCATGGGTTTTGTAACGATGTGAGCTTTCTTCCAACACCACTGAAATTTGTAGGTAACCATTTAGCAGCGTAGATAGAATTCCATCCTTAGTTTCCGTTGTAGCATAACATGCGTGTTTGTTTAGATATTATTAGTGGCTCTTGTTTGTGTTTTCGTCATAGCTCTAGTACTGCCTCCGGTTACATCACGTTCTTGTCAGCGCGAGGCTGAAAGTAAGTCTTTGGGAAGTAAGACATTGGATGAGCGACTCCAAGAACAAGGGTCAACGTAATTTTTCAAATATTTGCGTAGTATGGCCTTCACATTGCTAAATCATCCCCTTTAGGGTCAACGAAGATCTTCGCAGTGAGCCGAAGTGGGACATGCGTAAGAATAATACGATGGTACTCAAATGGTCTTTATGGTGAGCTCTCACAAGCTGTGGAACTTTCCAGGTGCTCAGTTCTGCAAGATAATTTGATTTTTACCATTTCATTTTGTCCTTGTTCCTCAACCATCTTATAATCTCTTCGTCGTTTCGGTTTTTCTTTTCTTTCTTTGCCAAATAAATCGTTTTACAGGAATTACAAACAAAGAGGATAAAGGAGTGAAAGGGAGAAATTGATGTGAAGCTCCAAAATAGCCTATCGTTCTTTCTGTTAATAATTTCTATTCAGATGTACAACTATATACAATCTTTGTGGGTTGAGATGCAGTTGGATCGGAGCGGTGTTAAATGTGGTCTGGCGGAGGTTATAGATACTGTCGCAGGTGCGTCACATAATTTGTTCTTCAGTCCAATTATGGATCCAGCTATATTATGTATATACATCTATATATATATATATACATGTATATATATGCTTGGGAAGTTTGAGAGTACTTCAACATGTCTCGAACTAGAACTATATTTGGGTCCTGCTTAACGTTTTCAGACGCTGTGCTATCTTTTTTTGTGCAGTTTGCTGTCGTAGGCTGGGTTCAGTACGGAGAACTTGTTTTAACTCTTTCCTCCTTGCTAATTACTTCCTCCGTTATTCTTGACTTCGTTTCTCAAACGGACTATGGTTAGGTAGCATACAACGGTTTCGTCTCTGTGACTGCTATTTACCATACCCTTATTATTGCTGCCAGGTGTGACCTTAGAGTTTCACTGTTTTCACCGTTATCTCCTTGATACATTTTATGCATGTGGTATATGTTGTCCATTTTATACGAATAGCTTTATCACTTTTTTATAAATTTTCGCTTTATCAGTGATAGGTGGGTGACTACGTCCAATGCACTTTTGGCAGTGGGTTTATACCATAAATGTTCCACTTATGTGAAAGTTGGTATCCTCGCATCCGGCATAGCTGTCGAAACTAATTTGACGAATATTTTGTTAACAAAGAAGTCTGGATGTTCAAGTGACATTGGCCGCAGAGTTGTCAGATAGCTTAATAGCAACAGCTTTTTAGTCCACGTATTCATCATCTAAGTTGTCGTATGTGAAGTATGAGGCATATGCTGTTGTGTGGCAGAACCAACTTTTTCAGCTGGCCTAGGAGGCAGGTTCTCGATGCACTTCTATTGCATTGCTTTAGTTTCTGCATAGTGTTTTTTTTCTGCGACAATACCACGAGTATATTACTTGCTTCGAATTCAGTAATTACTTTGATAAACGTGAAAGAAAAGAGAAATCAGGAGTTCAAACATCCTAAGGTCTGCTATGGCTATATTACAGTGGTCATCACAACTATTCTTCTTCCCACTAAGCCTCTCAGTAAAAATGAGCCTGGTTTAAAGCAAGGTATCGAAATATGTTGTCGGAACTTTTGATTATTTTGGCGTAGTTTCTTTAGTATCGTTCAGCTATAAAATCTTCAGTCAAATTACTTTGAAAATCTGAGCTCTCGATGCCTTAACTCCAGACAAAAGTGCTCACTAGCAGCAATTGGTTTATACTTCACCAACTTCCTTAACACTTCCTAGGGTACTAGTTGATGTCGAGAGCAAACTGTTTGCGAATGTGTATTCCGTAACTTTACCAATGCTTCTTCATCATATCGCACACTGGGTTATTTAGTGAAATGTTACCATAGAGATGATAACCCTCTAAAGTGTCTCTGATGTCAAAATTAGGACTGATTCCATCAAGTCAGTCTTTCATCCACCTCTGGAATTGCTCGCGCTAATGATCGGTGCGATGCACAATTACTGCATAACTTACCATAATTGCAGAACACTTCACGGTGAATATCGAATGCAAATTTGTTTGAACAGGTAATAGTGTCGCTCAACCTTCGAGCAAACGCAGATGTACATATCGCTCTTTAATTTGTGGACATTTTTGCTAAATACATTAATATCTGCGTTGCATTTCCTCACAATGAAATCACAAAAGCCAGGACACCCGAAGTGCCAACGTCTGTGTTCTAGCCAAAGTTGAAATAATTTTGTTTCGTATTGCATAATCTGGCCATCTTTTTGCTAATGGAGACGAAAGGAGCCCCATCTTCTCGATTGTGAAATTACCTATCTTAGGAAAAATAAAGGAGTCATCGAAAAGCTGGAAATACAACGATAAGCGATTGTGCTAATATTTTTCATACTCAATGTTATGTCGCCAGGCTTTTCATCATTAACATTCATCAAAATAGGAACATAGTTGGGCCAGTCAAGCCTTTACAGTATTACGCCGAGGTGTACGGATCGGGAACGAGGTACCTTGGGAAACCGCACTATTTCCATGCAGAAGTCCACTGTTGACCCATCACAGTATTCGTTTAAAAAGTTTGTATGTATAAGCACGCTTTTGTTGATCCAGTGCTCTATCGAAGTGGAGGTGACATATCCATATAAGGCTTGGATAATCCTATTCATTTTCCTGGATTGTTGGGTTATCTATGTCACTGTGGTGTTAGGGATTATTTTATGCAAAATGTTATATATCCTGTGACGTTCTACTACATCGGCTGCCCGACGTGGGTTCTGTGCGGCAACGCTCAAACCTTCACAAAAGTCAGCGAAAGTTATTTTTCTTTGCCAGATTGTAATCTTGAAAACGGCAGTATTGACTATGTGGGTACTGAAAATTTTTTTATTTTGTTGCATTTGCATGCGCTATCGATCTACTTCGAAATCGGATAGGTTATGACGTGGGGGAGTTGGTGGTTTTGTTAAGATATTCTTTAGGACTAGTACAGTGATTGCATTTGTTTAGTTGATTGGCCTTGATTTTATGTTCGTGATGTACACGATAGGACAATCTTCGTAAGGAGTTCACTAGACGGGCCCAGCAAGTGGTAATAATTGTAGATCTCTTCGGCTGTTTCTGCCAACATGCCGTTTGTATGGGATGCGTGTCGTTCGTGATTCCCAGGTTATGATGATGGTTGAAATATTCTATTCGTTTAGTAGTGCTGTTGCAGTATTATATTTGCAGAGGTTTAAACATTAATTTTATCTTTTCTGTTCTCTCCTCTTTTCAAGCGGCTCCTATGTAGAAGTCGAGATGCGATTAGAGCTTCTCGCTTCGAATACTGAGGAGTAGCAGTGCAGTTTTGGAATGTGTTCGCCATCTCAAAGTCTTCAGTTGGAGATCTTAGCTGAAGATCTTTTCATACATCGCTTGTTTTTCTCTTCTGATTTGATCACAGGATTTGTTTGTGGTTACCCTATAAATCAAACGGGATTTCGAAGGACAATATTGAGGCGTACCAAACAAGGACCAGCTAAAACCGCCGTTAACTATAATGTATACTATACTTTATTTGTGCGGATGCTCTTGATCTCATTTTTGTGCTGCTGTGGAATTCCATATTCAGGGGCAACTTGCATCCTTACCAAAAACTGTAATTTTGTGGAAGAAACATTCAATGGTCATTCCCGGCCAAAGACGCCCTATTCCCTTCTTGTCTTCTTTTTACTTTCCAGTTTGGCTTTAAACTATAAGCACTGACCAGAAAGACAAAGGACTAGCATTGTGTGGTGACGAACTCGTTAGCCCCCGGAAAAGGCAATACCATGTTCGATCCCCACCGCAGGTTTCAACGGTTCGAATTTTTGCATGTATCTCATCATCACTGCGTTAGAACCATTGAATTTTTAGAACTTCTTTGTGCAGACAACTGTCTGTATCAGTACATTGAGCATCTCGGTAAAAGTTTGATGAAGTATTTTCTCTTAGTATGGAAGTTGAGGACGCATAATGGCTGCGATGGTAGGATCTCGTGTGAATCGACAAAATTTGCATTTAACAAGTGCACAAAACACCTCTTTCAACTACGTTTTGTGACGATGGCTTGCCACTATTGATAGAATACGCCTGGTAATCAAGTTGACATCTGTTAGTCGTCTCCATTTTGGTTTTGTATATGACGATTACGCTTATTTGTCGTTGCCTCCTATTAGAAAGCAAATGAACGTCGGCATTACTTGAAGATACTGTTCTTGTGATATGAGTTCACAACGTGAAACGCTGTCATTAACATGTGGTGAATATTTTACCGAATGATGTAGTAGAAGACGCGGGAGTAAGAGTGCTTCTGTGTTTGTTACAGGTTGTATTTCGTTAAGTAGCGGGGTGGCCTAACCATGGTCTTTCCAGATGGTTTCTGCAGTCATTCGTCGGTCTCTGTGATTGGATACTTGATTTGTCAGCTGACGACAAGATTGCTACCGATAAGAGGCCAGAATCTCTTCGAATCGATGAACCCTCATATGGTGCTACCGTTAGTAAGCCAGAAGCTCTAGAAAGGGTGAATCCTCGTGTCGATTTCGAATAGGCCTATCCAACTCTCCACTTATGATGACCCTTCGTATACGACGAATCCCGTCCTCTGAATTGCACTTGATGTCTCCTTCCAGCACAGTGTTACTTTTATTGAACGCGATCAAATAATGTGAAACAAATAGATTCAAATAGGCATGTTGATATGATTCATTGATATTATTATCGTGACGCCCAATAATATAAATGTGAGAACATTTTTTTATGTTGATGAACGTACTCTTTGGAAAATTCTCTATGACTGCTGTTCTAAAGCTTCGCTAATTGCTCGTCCCAACTTGGTTCCATTAACGATGGCCTCGTATTTGGCTGGAACATGTTTATCATAGTGGTTTTTCAAACTGGTTTCGCGATACAGGTATTAGATATTAATGGATTGAACCTCGACATTAGGATGCAGGTAAGCTCCATACCTTGTTGAGAACCGAATATGTTTATGCCTACAAAACCCTTCATTCGTTGTCGTCAATAATGGAAGGTCGTCCGAGACCTTTATCTTCTGGGTTGAATTCTCTCCCCAAAATTTTCGAAACCAGCGTTGTAGTGCGCGTTCTTTAGAATTTTCTCGGCCGCTCTAGACATTGGTGTATCGGGTCGTTTATGGGAGTGTTTGCAAGACTGAATTCATATAAGTAACCTGGTCAATATTGCTGTTTTGGCATCTCAAATTCTAACTTCTGGGGTTTTTCGGAAGCAAAACTTGTGTTATAATTCATTCAGCGAGGCAGAAGTACATGAAATAGGCTCCGTAATGATATATGAGATTGCGGCATCCTAAAGGCGAAAAAACTGTTGCTAAAACATATACGAGATGAGTAGAATTATTAGTCGGACATCAATTTCCGAATAACCTAATGGTTAACTTCCACAGAACATCTAGAGTTCGTTTGTTGTCACAGTGAAGGAAAATTAGCTAGTGGATCTTGAAGATAACTTTGTGATTTCCTTCTGTGTTTAGTGGTACTCTAAGAAAATGGAGTAAAACTAACTCTTGGTGCGTAGAAATTCGTGCTGAGCAATATCAATTTCTGCCTAGAAATAGCGATGCTAACCAACCAGCCAGGTTGGTGCATTGCGAATTTCTGCACTCCAGATACTCATATATGATACATTCCCGATGGTTGTTTTGCATCGCAAGCCTTTTTTGCTGCATTCTTTGTTATCATTTGGAAGCTTACTCATAACATTTTGTGGTAGTCGTGAAGAGGCTGTATTCTGTGCTGAGAAGTATACAACGAGCGCTTTTACGAATGAGTCTATTCACTGGTAATTTAACTAGTAACTGACTCTTATCTCAAGTTCGAGCGCTGTGATCAACCGTGGTAGTTGAGTGGAATGGCTGTGTATAAAAACAGAGAGATGGACTTAACATAAGCTGTGAAACGGTAGCATACGTTTGCGTTTACACAGAGTGGCAGACCAGAGTCTCTTCATAATACTTTCATGTTCTCAACCCAAATCCTCTAGTTATCGAAAGGTTGTGGTTTGTTGTCAGAAACCCACAAGTCTATAACAAAATGAAATCAGGTGTCCTCATTACCGTGACAACGTTGCAATTCATTCAATGCTGAATGGGCGACTTCTTTTCTTTAAGAAATAATGCGCAAATTTCGACTTCCTGTATTACTTTCTGTGTTTGCTGCAGAAAGAAAACCATCTCTGAAAACCAGTCGTGAATAGTTCTAGCCTGATGCACGACTTTTTCCTTGTTTTCTTTTGCCGAGAAGAAAGAGAACTGGCAAAAGGCCGTGAGAGTGTAGTAAGTGTGTAATCTTTATTCTGATCTGTCACGCATCCTTATCCTAAATTAATAACATTCTGAACATCGTGTGGCCTTTTCACGCTTGCACATCACATACTTATTTATATATCTATACATATACATGTGGATGCATATAGGTATATATGTATATATATATATATATATATGTATATATGTACATATATATATGTGTGTAACCTACTTCTACAATTTTCAGTTCGTCGTGTATGCAACGTATTTCGCCTTGGTGGCTATGTTATTTCGTATCATCTTCATTCACTCGCGGTTTAAGAAATTGCAGAAGATTACTGAGAGTGATTAGGATAGGTGTTAGTGACTGGTTTCTATAGACTTGATAAAGGTTTTATATCATCGTTATGTTTGATCTTACAATATAAATAGAATGTGAGTTTGTCAAGTAGTGAGTCGAAAGCACATGTGGACAATGTTTTCTTTTTTTCTACTTTTTTTGCCATCTGTATAGCACTGTCACTTGGTATGTGTATCTTCAGTAGGTGCACCAATCAAAAAGTCTGAAATCATATTGAGTTCTAAAAAAGGATGAAGAATAACGTGTTTGCCGTTGATCAAATACTTGGGAATGCGCCATATATCGAACTCTGTTCGTAACAATGTAAAGGCGACTGAGTACATGTACAGATTTACTTTATTGTACATAATCACTTACGGTGGTCTAGCGAAGTATACAGTGAGTGTTTTGTCCTTTCATATAAATTTGGCAGCAATTTGCCGGCTACGGAGTAAAGGAAGCTTTTCGTAACCCGAGCAGCCTGATCCCATATTGGACAGATGTATCGAATGTGAGCAATTAGTAGATAACCATGTTTCAGCACTTCGATTTGTTGAATTATGGATGCGATTTTATCTATCTTCGACTTATTGGTAACACACTTGTGAAAGCGTGCTTTGGTCTTAATACCCATGCTTTCGAGAATAATCCAACACTTCAGTCCTAAACAAACATGTGCATGCTCACACCTAGTATTCTACCGTGGTTGAATTCTGGTTACAGTAGCTGGTACAACTACTATGTCAGTTTTCCTGTTGTGGATCGGTTCTCGAGAAACGAAGCTATTGACCGGGATGGGTTTTCTTCAATGCGATGCGATGGCAGTACCCATCGTATGTGCAGGCATCTACCGAGATTGCATTGAAATTTTCGCAACACATCATATCTTCCGAATAATCTTGCTAACATAAAAATACCGTTAGAGGAAAATTACTGTACCGTTAGGGTGATAAAGCAGTCTTTTCTGTAAACTTGTCTGGTCTTCAACTCTTCAAATCGGGAGTTATCGAAAAATAAGTTTAGGTGCGAATATGTTAAAAGTGCCCCATAAGCATCCTGTCTATTAAATAATATAAAGAATATACTAGGTTTTTTTTCGGAGGAAAACAAGTATGCGAGACATGGCTGGCATTGTGCTAATACACACAAATCTGATGAAACACTTAGTTGATGTGGACAATCGTCTCGATTCAGTGAAGCTCAGGCGGTGAAGGCGTTAAAAGGAGAGCAACAATATAAATTTGAAGGAAACATCGTATTACTTCCGTATTTCGATGTTTTGTCTTCTCAATAACCATTTCGGTATGACACTGTGCTGACTTTAACAGTGCTTCGTTCTGATTGAAGGCATTATCCAAGGAGTGCATCTGGTAGCTTCCTATCCATATTGTGTCAAGACGATGTCCTAGGCCTACGCTGTTTCGTTAAGTATCCTAAGCCGTTCTTTTTTGGCCATTGCTAAAATGAGATCCTTCTAGGAAAGTGAAGAGCAAAAGCTAAGAAAACCCACACATAGAATTAACACATGAGAACAAAGAAAGATCAACAGTTGGTGTCGTGGTCATAACGAATTTTCTCTCTAGTTTACGGGAACGAAGCCAATTGCGTAGTTAATATTGCGAGGGATTATTTAACCATTACCTTACATAGAATTCCGATCCATACAAAATGGACAATTAAGACTGTTTATATAGCGCATTTGCCTTTATACGGTTCAAATAGTTTTGACATTCTGCGCAGACGTAGTGTTTCCTTATTTAGAACGCATTAGAACCATGGAAGTCGTCTGGTTATACCGCACCGCACACAGTCCGCCTCTAGGGCGACACAAGCTACGCTCAGTGCTCCTCTGAGGCGAACCAGCCCGAACACACTCCACCTCTGAGGCGAAGTAAGCTACACAGAGTTCGTCTGTGAGGCGAACCAAGCTGAACACAATCCTCTTCTGAGATGACACAAGCTACACACAGTGAGCCTCTGAGGCGAACTAAACCGTATACAGTCCACATCTGAGGCGATATAAGCTACACATAGTGTGCGTATGAGACGATTCAATCCGCACACAGTTCAGCTCTGAGGCGAACCAAGCCGCACACAGTTTCTCTCTAACATTTCGGTTATCTTCGAAGGCAGACTCTATGTGCTATTGATTTCCTTAGAGGTGTAAACTTGTAGCTCATCCTGCGCCAGAAGCGACCTGCGTGCGATCTAGTTTGCCTCAAAAGCTGACTCTAACTGGTTCGATTAGCCTGAGGTTGAGTCTACGTGGTATAGCTCGCCTCACATCGCTTTTACCCAAGGAAAACGACTTTTATATCTTTTAAGCTGTCTTTGCCGTGTTTTTGCTTGGCACGCATCTAACTTAAGAAAAGTTTGCGTAAAATTTGGACTAATTCATAACATAACTCGACCGACAGAAACCTTGGTTGCGGAAGGTACACTTTGAGGAACAACTTAGCTTTCGTGCTTTTCTTCCGGCCCATTCGTCGTTGTGATCTTGCACGGCACGATAGTTATTCTCTATACGAGTTTTTTAACTCTCAGGCAGCTGTCTGGTATTCCTTTGCGGTTCTACTCTTTTGTACTCACTTCGTGTTCGGGATAGGCTTGGAAAATTGTCGGTGGCTGAATTGTGCATGATCAATGAAGAACCAGTCATGCCAAATCCGAGCAGCGAAGTAAACATTCAGTCATCCCAAAGGAAAATCTACAGACATTAGAAACCCTTCTGGAATTAAACTGCTGTACCACCTGAGTGTCCGGTCACAAGGTACACCAAGGGGATTGGTCACAATCAAGATATCCCAAGTTCAGAACGAGCCCATCGTAGTATACCAATACCAGGATCCACCACGGTCCTGCTATCAAAGTCTCATGGTGGCAAATCTCTTATCCATAAGGGCGGCGAATTCTTGTGCTGGTGACGGCGTCGGGCAGACTTTGGCTTGGCTGATCCCGGGAATCCAGGGAACCACCGTAGCTGAACCAGCAAAATTTTAAAGTAATGGAAATTGTGCTAGGACCCACAGAGTCAGTGAGGATCGGCCATCGGAGTGTTTAAACAAGAATACCATGAATAGAGTGAGAAATAGAGCGAATGTTGTATAAACGTTAATACGATGAGATAAAGCCTTAAAAAAATAGTCGACTATTATTTAAAACGTTGAAATTCAGACGTAATAGAGTCCACGGATCCATACGTAGGTGCACATTATACAAATGAGTGCCGGGAAATATGATGGTGCATACTATCGAATGGGCGTGGTTCCAATGGCACAAAAAATTTTGGGGAAAATAATTCATTTGTTTCCGGTAAACAAAACTATTCCATAAGAGGTTAAATTAAGACCTAAACAACATGGTGATTACATGCACAACCTCGAATTATAGGTTGGAAAGGTCAAACAACTAGAATTAGGATCTAAGAGCTTAAAAATTTGAAAGAAAGGTGGAGTAACTTTGAGTGGACTTCGTCTAGTAATCTTGAGGTCGATGTTGCTGCGTAGGAGGCTGCGGTGTGTGGCACTATGTGCGCACTACGCTGTCGAAGTCGATCTTCCTTCATTCAGCTTTAAACCCTCACCGGCCATCGTCCCACGCCCAAGACGAGCGGTCTCTTCTTTATTGCAAGTTGCCTGAAAAGGAAAGCAGAGAAGTTCATAATGAAAGAACCCAGTTCCGCACCTCTGGAATAAGAAGATTATATCGGTGAGAACCGGAAAGTGATCACTATCGAAATTTTGTCCACATATTTCAATACAGCCAAATCAAGCTTCATTTCGCTGCAAATTCAAACAACCTCAAAATTTCAATGTTAACATTTTATTTGCTGCCTGCTACCATTTTTTTCGGCAGGGGTATTATGTGATTAACTAGCTCAGAGACAAGCGAAACCTAGGACCCGCATGGAGTGGTAACGAACGCGTTAGCCTCGAGAAGGGGTACGCTGCGGTCCAGAGTTTTGCAAATATCTCAGCACCACTACGGGTGTATATCGTCAAAGTTTTCGATGATTTTTAGAAGCAAAGAGAATTAAGCAGATTAAAGTCAGAGGAAAACCTCTTTAGAAGGCGAAAAACGGACTAGCACTTACGCGACGATATGGCCTCTATCCTAGTCAGGGGATGCGAAAGTAATGACAATTCTCAACCCTAAATGAACAAGTCTCAATTAGCAGCTATAAAAGCTGAGAGGTCGAAAGTTATCAAGAGACGTCTGTCTCCAGAAACACTCAAGCTGATACGCCTGCGTGGAATCGCACGAGCTGCAGAAAATCGCGAATTAACGTCAGAACATGTTAAGCAGTGCAGACAGGCGATAAAAGATCTTGAAGAGAAAAGAACAGCACTTGTGGTTGAAGCTGCATAAGTTGGAAAAAGCATTCGCAAGCCCACCGAAGCTTCGCCAATTACAAAACCAAGCTGATTGCACTCCGACGTCCGAACTTGCAAAACAATGTAGAGAGGCCATGATGAAAGAAGATCTTAGAGAGAGAAGAACAGCAGTAATGGCCGAAGTTACAGTGGGTGGGAAAATGATTCACAAAGCCCACCGAAGCTTCGCCAATTACATGACCGAAATGATTTTTCTCCGGTGGCCGGACGGAACAGTTACAGCGTCCGGGAATGTAATGGAGAAAATCATTCACGAATACTACTCGCATCTCTTCAATAGCCATGTCCTCCTTCCTTCATGTGAAATAAAGGAGGTTGAATATGTCGTACCACCAGTTATTCCTTCTGAAATCGCACATGCTATTTCGTCGTTGAAAAATCGAACAGCATCAGGTCCGCACAGGGTAAGATCTGAACATCTGAAGAACTCTGCGCCAATCCTCAAAAACACAGTGGATCGGCTCTTTACACGTTACCTGTCTGAATGCAAGGTTCCTAAAACTGTGCTAATGTTTCAAGAAGGATGACCTACACGACATCAGCAACTATCGCCCAATCTGCTTGCTGTACGTCGTCTACAAAATTTTCACTCGATTCTTCCTAA